GAAAACAATGAATGTCGTATTTTGATCTTCGTCGAGAACAGCAACTCCTTTGCATTTCTATATAATCAAAAAAATTGGCCGACAGCTCTCGCTGGTTGTAACTACTCAACTAAGAAACCGTCTATTCCTCCACAACTCTCATTAGTTCTACCCGCAGTTTCGATGCAAACAAATTGGGAGGATTTTGTACAAGAGCTAAAAGATTTACATCCAGATATAGTGAATGTTGTTCGTTTAAAAAATAAAGCACAACAGCCAATACGTGCAGTTAAACTAGAATTTTTATCAGCAAGTTCTCGTAATGAAATTTTAGAAGCCGGTGAAATCTCAATTATGCATATAAAATATAAGGTGGTTGAATTTTTTGCTCAAGCAAACGTGTTGATCTGTTCGAATTGCTATGGAATAGGGCATTTTAGAAAGAATTGTAATCAGAAGAATGAAGCAACGTGTAAAACATGTAGCGAAAAGTGTTCCAACTTAAAAGAGCATCGTTGTTCAGGTATTCAAAAATGTGTGCACTGTGGAGGACCACATGTTTCAAATGATGCGAAATGCAACGTAATACAACAGTACAGAACGGTTCTCACTCGAAATTTATTATCAAAAATAACTCCAACCAACACTGAAAACGTGATTCCAAATCAATGTTTCAACAACCTACCACACACTGGTCTCACAACAACAAATGAATTATCCTATGCCAATGTAGTTAAAGGAACGACATCAAACTCAAATGAATTATTAATGAAAAAGATTGATAGTATTTTAACAAAAGTAGAAGAAGAATCTAATTCGACTCGTCAATCGATAGAAGAATTGAAAAAAGAAATGAAAAATCACTACGAAGAAACAAAACAACAAGTTGCTGAATTAGAGGAAAAGGTCATGGTAATGGAGAAAAAATTTTATGACTTCTCGGTACGAACTGGGGAAATTATTCAAAATATTTGCACAACTCTAATGGAACCACAAAATTCTCAAGGACAACAATGGAAAACTTATTGGCAAGAACAAATTAAAGTGATGGCTGATTCCAGATCATCAATCGCAAAATCGTCAAAAAATCATCAAAATGGTCCAACCAACTAGTGACAATCTTAAATATGTTAATTCTCATTACAACCATGATTTCAACCATGATATTAAAACAGCTCGCTTTCTAGATCAAGCCAGAACTACTTTAGCATCAAAAGATTTCAGTCTACTTAAGAAAGTTATTAATGAATGGCTTGTAATTTCTTCTTACAATGAACTCGAACTCAAATGGAAACATTATCAGAGAGCAAAAGAACGACACGGATATTCCTCATCTTCATTAAATATACTATGTTTCAACGTTCGTGGTCTCGATCTACGATGGGGAGAAGTTTGTCTGTTGGTCAAAAAATATCTAACGGATATCATTGTCTTAGGAGAGGTTGGCCGTGTGGATCTTACTCTAATAGGTGCAGCGCTATCTAATTATAATATATACTATCAAGCCGGTGAAAATGCACATGGAGGTATACTTGTCATGATACGAAACGATATTCTAGCCGTTAGACTAGACTGTTCATTACCGAACATTTGCGTACTAGACCTGCAATTCGAACAAATAATTAGACTAATAGCAATATATGCTCCAGTTAGTAAAACATGGGAATGGGCTGATCTGTCTTCTTATGTTACCAGCCGCTGTATGATTATGGGAGATTTTAACATTGATATGGAACAGGATGGAGATCAAGCTGATAAACTTTTGGAGTGGATGGACTCATTTAATCTAGAACCGGTTGTTCCTGACTCCAATACATCACTTCGATCAAATCGTACGATTGATTACGCTATTACAGTCGGTGTTGAACTTACAATGCAAGTGTGCGAAGGAGATACAACGAGCGATCACAAACCGCTACTGGGTGTACTCGTGGGTGAGGAACACTCGACATACGAAGGATTAAGAACAATATGGCCCGTTTTCACCTTAATGTTATCATACGTATTCGATTATTGGGAAAAAGAATGGAACAAAAACTCTTATGATACAACATACGAGCGATTTATTTCCTTTCTCACATTACTCAAAGTTAGATGTCAACAGCATTTTAAAATTGAACATGTCAGGCCCTCCATTCCACAGGATCTGATGAAGTTACTAGCGCAAAGCCGCTCGTTATCGTTCAAAGCAAAACGAAAAGGTGATCTTGAACTACGAAAAGAAGCACGTCGTCTCCGAAACTTAGCACGATTCGAGTTAAAAAGGTTTCAAAAGGAACAACTAAATAAACAATTAAAAGAAAGATATTCTCCTGGTGACGCCTCTAGACTTTTTTGGAGCAAAACCAAAAGACACCTTCGAAATGTCTCTTCATCATTGAAAGGATTTCTGTGTTCCAACGGTACAATTACAAAAGATTCACAAATAATGGCAGACACTGCTGCAGATTACTATGAAAAATTATTGGAAGCACCTATAGTAATTCGTCCGCACCCTTATGTCGATGCTCCTTTTATGCAATGGGAGAATGAAGCCGAATTAATTCCAACTGTCACTTATCCAGAAATACTAAACATACTACGTTCAAGAAAGAAAAAACAATCTCTTGATATACACGGACTTTCTCCATTTATACTTGATAAAATACCTAAAAATTACTGGCATCTCCTGGTTCAACTGTATAATTACTCTTTTAGTGAAGGTTACATATTAAACAAATTTAAAGAAGTAAGAATGATTCTTTTGGCAAAGAAAAATGCGATCTGTATACCGGACCAAACTAGACCAATATCACTGCTCGACTCCTTTCTGAAGGTACAAGAAAAATTATTTCATTGTCGATTTTTAAAAATCTTAAAAGATCGTGGTATTCTGCCTGACAATCAGTCGGGTTTTCGAGCCGGATTTAGATTACAAACACGTGTATTACTCCTCATTGATCAAATCTCATCGTATATGTCAAACAGCTCTCCGACAACGACGGTCTTCGTCGATTTTAAGTCAGCATTTGACCAGTTGTGGTTCGAGGGATGTTTGGGTAAACTAGCTAGAATTGGAATTCCGACTGCCTATGTTAATTGGATTCGAGCGTGGCTTAACGATCGTAAAGCAGTTATTGAGGTAAAAGGTAAAAGATCAAGATGGATCAAAATTCATCGTGGTTGTCCTCAAGGCTCGAGTTTCTCTCCCACGTTATTTATCACATACCACAGCGATATGGCTGATTATTTACCAGGTGCAATGTCATTCTTCTTTGCTGATGATCTCGCCGCTGTACTTGCCGGTCAAATCGGAATCCGATTTACAAATCAATGCATCGATCTAGAATACCGTTTACAAAATTTTCTCGATCAACTTGAACTCTATTCAATCCTATCTGTGCAGCCGGTCAATTATAGTAAAACACAAGCTATGTTCTCTGCGAGAGCTGTTAGTTATCCAAATCCATTACCTCAGGTTCACTGCGGGGATCACAGCTTGGAATGGATCACCGCTTTTAAGTACCTTGGTTATTGGCTGTCGACCAAGTTAGGCTGGGGTAGTATCATTCGTAAGACCACCTTAATCGTTCGTCAACGAACTGCTTTAGTTAACTCCTTCAGGATAAATGGTACATCATCTACAAGCCTACGACGCTGCCTCTTCTCTACATTTGTACTACCGTATTTTACGTGGCTATTTGGAATTTTCCCTCTGTTCACCGAACTACAACGTACGAGTCTCAGTCATCTATATTTTACTCTCTTGAAACGGGTTTATCGCTGTCAACACTGGGAGGACACATTTTTCTCGTCTATTTACAACGAAAAATATCTAGATGATCATTGTTATGCATACTGGGAAAAATATCTAAAAGCTCTAGTGAACTCCAAAGACGGATACCTGTTGTGTGAACAATCAGAACTTAACACGCATAGATCAAAATGGCAAGAAGGTGAAAGCTCAATTCGTTGTCTTAGGAGATCAAAAAGATTTGTACCACATCGTGATATACTTGAACGAGTTTTCTCTTGGATGACAACACATGGAACATCCGATTCTGTTATTCCCTACAATATCGATGAGCTTCTCTGCTTTTCACGATTTCCGGAAACGTTCATATAACGTTTAATATCAACATCAACAGCAACACCATTTAGGTCGCACTGACAAAAAAGAGAAGGAATGTATCCAAGGAAGAGAACAAGAGAGCACGAGACAACGAGTGAGCAACAAAATATCAAAGAACAGAACAGAACTGTTTGTTACCGCATTCATGCATACTCCTGCTCTCATCCTCAGCTGATTACAACTATGTTATCACATCAAATTTTTGTTTTTTTTTATTTTCATGCAGAATAAGTTAATGCTTTTCAGTTCTTAACGTACAAGTATCATAACGCGTTAACGTCTACAGTGTGCAATTCGTTACTCTATCAGCACTATGGCACTTTTCTTTCATACACTTATTGTTTACTTCGTTTCAATCGCAATAATACGAACTGAGGACGATATCTCAGATGTTAACATCAACCGTTCAAGACTGGACAAGTTGTTAGTATCAGCACTAGAGGCACAGGCAAAAGAAAATGATGGACACCAGCGAAACCAGAACAAAAATCAAGGACTCATAAATACGTTGGTAAATCATAATAATAAAATAAAGAATATTGAGAACAAGTTCGAATTTATTGTGAACAACTTCGCGAATACCAGTCATGTGAAAGAAATAATCGAACGTACCAAGCAAACTGAAAAGCATATCTACGGAGCACCCAAGCCGCATAAATCATGGCGTGAAGCTGCATTGTTATTACTTTCTGGCAGCGCAATAGTGATTACCTTGGCGAAAATTCACAAAAAATATCTTCTTCCTCGAGCCAAACAATACATTCGCAACATTAACCACAGCAATACAACACGAGAAAGAACTATTAGCGAACGAGTTCATAAACAACAACAGAATAAGAAAACAACGTCTGACGAACTCCCAACAAGAGACGAACGACAGTTGAAAAGCCAAATAGACGAAATTTATTCGATGATGGACATTATCAACAAGAATCTCGTAAAAATTAACATGCCGGTCCGTGTTGAGGAGTAATCATAATAATCATTCGAAGGTTACCTACAATCAAGGAGCACTGCAATCTCTCGGGTTATGCTTTGAAAAGAGTCGTCCTGATATTTTTTTCTTCTTTTTAGTTAAGATATCAGGCTATGAGCGTACGATGCTCTCTGCCTTTTTCTTTTTTCTCTCTTTATCCTTTTTGCTTTTCATTTTTCATTTGTTTATATCTCGAGTTTTTTTTTTCTTTCTTCATTCCATGCTCTTCTCCTTATTTCTCTCTTATTTTTTCTGCCGGTGGACAAAGCGTCAAATGGTTTCGCATTGTCACTCGTAATCATGCAATGCAACTCTTTGTAAGCTACTATTTTATGGCTATCGCTTTTTCTAGCTCATTTGTCCCTTTAGGACCGTCATGGTCGTAGGGAAAATATTGCAAAATAAATATAATAGAACAATTAAAGAAATTTCATTGTTATTTAGTCGTTTGGAACAAATTGGAATAAAATATATTCAAAATGAAAATTAATATCGATTTATTTGTTTAAAACAAGTTTGTTATTTTATTATTAAATAAACAATCATATAGATTTATGCTTTTTTTTTCTTGTTTAGGTTCATATTATATGTGATTATTATATGGAACAATTATTAAAATCTTGTTATTGTGGTACATATGAATTAGCTTATACAGGTTTTCTTATTATTTGTGAACAACTTTGGAGGTTTACTGATACTTTTTATTATATTTAATTTTTTAATTTAAATATAACATTTTAGTTCAAATTGTAATGAATTTTGTAATTTAACAATAAAAATGGAATAAAAATGGTTGAAGAAAATAGTCTTGATAAAAATAAATTATGTTTAACACGACGATCCGGTAGTTTACCTTTTTATCTTCAATCCATATTAACTGATGAACCAATTAAATAATATGAACAACAAAGAACATATGTTGCGAATTTAATGGATACTTTATTAAATATTATTCAAAATGATCCAGATACAATACAAATTGATGGACAAATTTTAGAAAATAGTTGAAAAGTATTTATATATAGATTGAAAAAAGAATATTTTTATTTTCAATTATAGTTTATTCTTTTAAAAGATAACTTATCTCTAAACAGTAGTAAATATATAATAGATATGAATAAGAGTAGAGCATTGACGACACAATAAATAGTATGTCGATGAATAGAAAAAAATGAATAAGATAATATAATTATTTCTTCAGAAATTGTAGTCAATCAATTTATTGTTACGATACTTTTATTTTGAATTGTAAAAATTTTGTGCGAGAATTTGTTTTCATTCTTAGATATAACTTATTGTTCGATTATATTTCAATACTTTAGAAATGAATTTAATTGATTTTTTTTTCTACATAGTTAAATTCTGATGAATTCTTGTCAGAGACAGAAACAGGGCGGGGAATTGAGGCATAGGCCCCGGCGTGGGGAGCTTTTTTATTGGACGGGACGGGGGCGGGGGGAGAATTTGAAAAGAAAAGCGAGGCGAGGCGAGAACGGGGCGATCAGAAATATTTTAAGTCGGGGCGGGGCCTGGAAGAATGATGTAGAGTTCCGTATTACTTTCTTATTTTTCGATTTTACACCGGAAATTCATATGTGCGAAAACGAAAAGGCGGGGTCGAGGAAGCAAAAAAAAATAACGAGCGGGGCGAGGTGAGGTCGGGGAGAGAAAGTTTCCGACGGGGCTGGGCGGGGAGTAAAAAATCCGCCCCGTTTCGGTCTCTGATTCTTGCACATCTAAATACCATTCTTCATTTATTAAAATAAAGATTAGTCTTAAAAACAAATTGGTACTTATAAGTAAAACATAGCTGACTTGAGGTTTGTGTTTTTTGGTCTCATTTATAATTTTTTTTCTTCTAAAAAAAATATTTCAGTAGAGAAAATAAATCTCAGACTATATGATCTATATTGTTCAGAAGCTTAGCACTGTTTATATTTATAATAAAAATATGTAAATTGATTTTAGTTTTTCTGATCGATGAATTAATCTTTTGTGCAATTTCAACATGACAATGGTATAAAAATTATAGAAACATGTAAACATTTATTTCATAATAAAAGAAAAAATCTATGTCAACACATTAAGACAATAAATAACGAGAAAATTTATTACAAAAAAAAAACCTATTTTTTTAGTTGAACAGAAAAAAATCAATATTTTCATTCTGAACCCGATGTATCAAAGTTGATTAATATCAAGATTTATCGAATCCTATTCTTAGTCAAAAAAAATTAAAACAATATAACTGAATTTTTTATTATTTATTTGTGATAAGAGGAGTTGCAATTATTTAATATAATATTAATTGTAATTGTAATTGTTTCTTGTAAGAATTAAAAAAAAAAACTACATAAAATAGTAAAGTAGAGTCAAATTTTATAATATAATTATTTAAATGAATTAATATTAAAAATAGATTCATGCATAAAATACGTTTCGTTCATATTATCGTAATAAACGATTTGCAAATGATATTTATCCATATATTGAACGTGATCTTCATTTATCAATAAGTAATTTTACATCATCAATATGGATGATAAGAAATAGTGCAACATTATTATTATTATCAACAATAGTTCAAAGTATATTTGGTCCATCGAAAACAAAAGATGGAGAAGAATATTTATCACAAAAAAATATTATGACATTAAGAGAATTCTTTAATAAATATTCATCATTATTTCATTTATTTTATCAAAAATTACAACAAACAACAAGGTTTGTTTTGTTTTTTTGATTATAAATAAATAAAATATAATTATTTCTATTTGTTAAGTACTCGTTCATCAATTGAATCATTATCATCATCATGTTTATTTGCTATACTTTTAATTCTTCGTCGTCTTTATCTAAGTTCACTTGATGGAATTGATTGTTCATTAACATAAGATAAACTTTTACCGTTTGTTATTAAGTAATTTATTA